ACAGAAGGGAGAGGCAAGGTGGCACCTTTTAACTCTAAACAAGTTCCACCTGGCCTTGCCTTCTGGCTGATTTTTTTTCAAAGGTACTTGTGAACTGCAGCTGCAGTTAAATGAGAAGCCTTGACTTTAAGGAAATGGTGTGTACTCTGCACTTCTGAAGACCAGGCAACTTGTTTGAATGCTGTAATGCAGATTAGGAGGGCAGATCAAATAAATGACTTATCGATTTAAAAACATTTTGGTTAAAATGGAAAAAACGCTGCTCAGCAACCTCCAAACCTCATCACGTTTTCCCTTTTTGACTTGAAAGTTCCATCTTCTGTCCATCCCAAAGTTTTGCACAGCCCCAGTGCTTAATTGAAACTGAGCAGAAGGCAAAGCAAGGTGGCACCTTTTAAATCTAAACAAAATAGTCTATATCAGTGGTCTCCAACCTCTTTAAGCTCAAGATCACTTTTTTAATTAAAATGCAACCCAGGATCTACCTCAAAGAAAATTTGCCTTCTGTGCACTGGCCGAGTGCCTCTGCCTGCCTGGCGGTGGGAGGCACATGGAGTCTCCGTGCAGGACTGGAGGCAGCACCACATGGTGCATAGCCCAGCATGCAGTCGGCCTCTGCCCCAAGCACAGATCTGAGGGCACATGTTCCCCATGCCTGCCCCAGGGTGCACCTAGCGGGGGGAGTCGTCCCCCCTGCCCCCACATCCCTGGAAAGGCCCAGGCCACCTATGTTGCAGAGATGGGGCGAGCTGGCCTGAGGGAAGAAAACCCCCGGGGAGCAGCAGGCTGCTTCTGCACTGCACTACAGCTCCCTCCAGAGCCACACAGGATGCCATGTGCCTGCTGCCAGCGTGCATCAGGCACATGGAGTTGCGTGAGGCTCCCAGGCCAGCGGCAGCATGGTGCAGCATGCAGCGGCAGCCTGCCTTTACCTCACACATGGATCTGGGAGGCACGTGTCCCACGTGCCTCCCTTGGGGTGCACACAATGGTGGGAAGCCCCCCTCCTTGCCCCTGGATGAGCCTCCTGGGCTCTGACCATCCTGTCACCCACCCCAGGGCCCATTCACCCCTGCCTATGCCCTCACCATAGGGGCCTTGATCTGACCCTGTCTTCCCCTCCAACACACTTATCCTCTAGGTGCTGCTCTGCACACAGTGCTATGTTCCTGGCTGTGTGCAGCAGGCTGCTGCTGGGCTCTGGGTGTGTGCAGTTCTTCCCCCTGGTCCCTTGAGGGTGTCAACTCATGACTAGCTAGCAATGTGATTGCTTTGAAAGGGTCTAGTTTGATGCGATCATGGACACAGCTTTATTTATGCCTAACTTTAGTTTAGGAAAAAAATGAGATGATGGACTGAGACTGAAATAGTCTGTCAAAGGCACCACGATTGACCAGTTGATTGTGATCTACTGATTGGTGAGTACTGGTCTATATGGTTCCATCCTGCCTTACCGTCTGCCTGATTTTTTTTCAAAGGGGTGAGTAAAATCTCTGATTTTATTTAGTGAGGAAAGTGGGGAAGAGACAAGTGGCTTTAATTCTCTGAGTTCTAAAGCTGCTCTAAAATAGCGGGGATTGCCACTCCAGAGGTTTCAGCAGCTATGAAGATGAGTCCTATGGGTTGAATGGGTTCAGAGGTAAGGAGTCCAGCCCTTGAAAAACCCCATGAACCAGATTACCAACCTCCGTAAACCAGATCCAACCTAAAGGCCTTATACTTGACACCCCCTGTGTTGTCTCCTTTTCTCCAAACTAAACATACCTATCTTCTTCAGTCTCTCTTCATATGGCTTGCTTTCTAGTCCCCTCTTCAACTTTGTTCTTCATCTCTGGATCTTCTCCAGTTTCTCTACCTCCTTATTTAAATATTGTGCTCCAAAATAGACACTAGTCCAGTTGGGTTTTAACATATGCTAAGTAAAGTTTTGAATACCATGCTTCTGTTAATGCAAGGTAGTTCTTTTTTAAGACCATATTGCATTGGTAACTCATCTTGAGTTTGTGGTCCACCATAAACCTCCCCTTCTTAGCACTGCCAGTCCCAAAAGTGTTATCCGCTTATTCTAAACCTCCATTTGATTTTTCTTACCTATGAGTAGCATCTGTCTTCATTGAATTTCATTTGTTGTCTGTAATTCAGTTCTTCATTTTATCTAAGTTCTTTTGAATTTTAATCCTGGCCCCTAAAGTAATTGAACAGTTTTGTACCTTTTGCTAGTTCATCAGTACTCTCTCTATTCCCCCATAATTAGAGTTGCCCTGATGCATCGGTTCATAGCATATCAGCACCAGTAAAAAGGAAAATTTGACATAATCAGCTTTTTTTGGCTAATGTGGCCAATAATGCTGCTGATAAATGTCACGTGCATGCGTGCAACCGCAGCATGCACGCAGTCAGCCCTGCAGCTTGGAGAGCAGCATCTAGCTGGTAAGTGTTAAGGAGGGAAGGGGCATGGTGGGGGCAGATTGAGGCTTCCGTGGTGAGGGAGGGAGTGGGGCTAGGGCAAGTGCAGGTGCTGTACAGCTGTGGCGGGGCAGAGAGTGGGACAGAGCTGCAAGCGGCTCATTCAGGGGGGAACTCCCACCGCTGCACACACCCCCAAAGGAGGCATGGGGGTGTGTGCCCCTCGGATCTGTACATGGGACAAGGGCGGGCTGCTGCTCTGGGCTGGGGCCAGGGGTGGCGCTGGGCTCTTCCCAGCGTGGGGATTAGACTGTGGTTGCGCTTGGGGCGTGTGGCAACAGCAGTGTTCGGAGGAGGGGCTACGGGGTGGGGGGGCTGCAGCCACCCTAAAATTTGCCATAGCCCCCCCAAAACCTCCCCCACAGCACTGCTGCCACTTGCCCTGAGCACAACCCCAGTCCAACCCCCACGCTGGGAAGAGCTCGGTACCACCCCTGGCCCCAGTTCACAATGGCAACCCATCGTTACCCCTTGCACAGATCTGGGGGGTACATGCCCCCCCCCCGTACCTCCCCTGGGGGTGTGCACAGTGGTGGGAGCTGCCCCTCCCCACCCCCCCTTGCCCTCCTGAAGAGCTCCTCATGCCTGTGTCCCGTGCTCTGCTCTGGCTCGCCAGCACCTGCCCCAGCCCCACTCCCTCGATATGGCTTGTTAATAATCAGCCATCGGTATTAGCCCAAAAAATCTTTATCAGTGCACCGCTACTCATAATAAAAATATTAAATGGCATTGGGCCCAGAAGAGACCGCTGTGGAACTCCACTTGCGACCAGCTGCTAGTCTGATATTGACCCATATATATTGACTCTGCTTGCTGTAATTCAGCCTATTATGTATCCAGCTAATGGTATCTCTGTCAGACCCACATTTCTCCCATTTGCTGATGAGACTGGTACGTGGGGCTATTTCAGAAGCCTCAATAAAGTCAAGAATGACTCCTGTGCAACGGTTGGAAAGAATACTTGCATGCACCCACCCACCACAGAGGAGTCCAGGCTCTGGATTCCAAATTAACAGCTGTGCCTCACCTGCATCCCTGATTCAGGTCCCAAAACTCTGGAGAGTAGCAGAATTTGGAAACTCTATTCCTGTGCTTGGTATTTGCTATTGTCCTAGGCAGATCCCTGCTCAGCATACAGGTTTTTTGGATCGTCCTTCTAAGGTATCAAACTATTCCCATGCACTGTATCTGTTTTCTAGGTATGTAATTCTGGATTTTGGTTTCAGCTCTGGGGGTCAGGCACATATAAGTGTTTAAGTCCTTTTTTCTAAGGTCTCAGTGCTCTTTGCTTTTAACACCTGAGGTTGAAAAGATTGGCATTACACTTGCTCTGAACCATTAAGTTGTGTCGTACTGTTGACACGGAGCAAATTCAAGAGACGCTGGCCTTTGGATGAGTTCATAAATATAACCACTGAGAGTTAATATCAGGTACAACATCTACAGTAAGAAGAGCTTTTAATTCTTGCAGTGGGAGTGATTTGTCTGTTAGCTAAATGCCAGCTATGCGGAGGTTCAGACATATACTCTTCGGTTGTATTGAAGAATCTTAGGGTGCCTACACACGAGCCTGGGGGCTGCTCCAAGGCACTGTAATTACAGTGTGTCGTAGCAGACTTGATTAACTGAGTCTGCTGGAGCATGATAATTACCATGCTCCAGCCAGCCTCTGTGTCTCATGTATCAGCATCCCTGCGCTTCACTAAATCCCTGCACTTTTAAATAAAGTGCCCCCTGCTGCCATTTTGAAGCGCAGGGATGCTGATACACAAGATGCTCCAGACGCTTTAATTAAAGTGGCTCTAATTAAAGTGCCTACCTCTCCCCCCATTCCCAGAGCACGTGTACAAACACCCATAGAGAAATACCTCTCTGATGACAGTGCTTTAACCTTAAGAGGCCATTAGATGGCACAGTTGCTCATCTGCATTCAGATGTCTGGAGCTTTCTTACATTATAATATATGGATCCTGATTTTTTTTGCTCAAATTTAGTGCAAGATTCAGTGGCCACAGCCAACCTTTTCTTTTAATGTGACAAAGCAGCTGGTTTGTCATTGTATAAGTTCTCTGAACAAAGATGTATTTCACCTGAGCTCTTAAAATAAATTCAAATTCATAAATCATGAAATAGTTGTATTTGTTTGAAAAAATCATTTTTACATTTAATTGTAAAGAAGTAAGCAAAAAGATGTATGCCACCTCTTATGGAAACAACAACAGATTGCATTGGGATGTAGAAATGGAAACCAACAAAGAATCAGTTAAAGCCTGGTACGTCGAGATGAAAGTGAAAACAGTTCTTCAGGAAGTACCATAAACTGTTTGTAGTAAAAGTTCATCCTCCAAAGAACCCCATCCATTAAATGGAGGACTTATAAGCTGAAATTGCTAAATATTAGTTGGCTTAATTGTCTGTGTGCTTGGCTATAAAAGTAACATTTTAATGAAATAAATCATTGACTTTTTCCTTTCCAAAAATAGCCCTTTTCATGTCACAAACTGTGAACATTTTGCTTTGATCAATCTTTACAGCTGACACCTTTACACTGCAAACGAAGAATTAAAGAATGGGAGTGACTAACCTGTGGCAGATCCTTGACCCAGTGAAACAGCCCATCAACCTGAGCAGTCTCAAGGGGAAAACCATTGCTGTTGATTTAAGTCTGTGGGTATGTGAGGCACAGACTGTTAAAAAGATGATTGGTGTAGTCACAAAGCCTCATCTTAGGTACAGTATCTTTGAATATAGTGTTTTAACCTCTATGCATGACTTCATTCCTGATGCATGATTTCATGTGTTAGCATGAACTCTCCCCCCCACCCCCCCAAGTTAAGACAAAGTCCTCTCACAAGAACTGTTACATAGACCATGTTTACATTATTCTGTATGAGGCATTATGGAGTGCCTTGATGAATATGTGTATTTTTTTAGTTGATTTTGTCTGATGCTTCTCAAAGAATGAACTAATTAAAGTGGTAATACTATCAAAGCACTGACTTCTGCAAACAGGATTAAAAAGAAGACAAATGCAGTAGCAGACAGCTAGACTTGAGCTTTCAAGAATGATTGGAGACTTACCAGTTCTCAGATCTTAAATACCCATTTAAATTGTAGATAATTTTTAGAGCTTTTGAACACTCCTGGTTCCAGCTAACTTCAGCTGTAGTTGTGGGTGTTCAGCATTTTTTGTTAACCAGTCCCTAAAATGTCCCATATTCAACACCCAAAATGGCTCATCATTTTCAGTTGAGCAGAAATTAATTAAAAATACCCTTGCATTAAATTGTTTTAGTTACTGGCTTGGTAATAACTAAATCATTACTTCCTAACGGCTACTGAAAATTCTCTGTGTATAAAAGGGCTTAGTCTGTCTGTCTGTCTGTAATGCTTTTGACCAACTGTGCACGTGCCACCGAGAGGGCGGGCAGTGTTTAGCTGCACGGCCCCAAGTTTGAGCTGCTGCCAGGGAAGTTTGTGGAGGCAGCGAACGTGCCTCAGCTGCCCGAGCAGCAAGGCTTCCCCACGCCTCCTTGCCTGAGGGGGCCACAACAACAGCCAGCAGGGAGGGGGAGGCAGTTTGGGGGGGGGCTACGTGGACCCAGGTGGCAGGGAAGGGAGAGGAGGAGGGGGCACCCCCCCGCCACCCAGCCCCGACAACAGCCAGTAGGGAGGAGAGAGGGAAGCAGAGAGGAGACATGGAGGAAGCCCCACTGCAAGGTGGACGGTGGTAGGGAGCCCCTGTGCTGGAGGTGGCGGTGGCAGAGGGAGTCTTTACATGGCCAGCCCCGAAGGGTAAATGGGGGGTAGGGGTCATGTAATCACGCCCCAAAATCCATCATTCTCGACCAGCAATTAGCTAGTAATTAATAGAAATGTCTGTTTTCTAGCAGATATGTGTTCCTATCATTTTTTTTTTTTTTTTTTTTATATTTGCAGTATTCTGACATATATGCTCTCATTAGTAAGATCAAGGACTGAATAGATCTTTTCCCACTACCAAAGTGCTTTCATGAAGTTCGGTTTGAAGTATATTACTAAGTCATTTTAGGGAAACTTCATGGGCACTGGTCATATTCAACCTTTTTGCTTCAGCAGCCTGAGATGTCATTGGTCATCTCTTATCAACAATAAATAATAAATATGTTTAAATTGGTCATCTTTCCAAGCCATTCTAACAGTAGAATTAATTTTCAAATCTGCTTTTGAAAGTCTGCTAAATAAATTACAATATCAATATTACTGTTACAGCAGTGATTCTTAACCAGGGTGCCATGTGATGCCATTAAACTAGGGGTTGGCAAAATGCAGCCCGGGACCAGATGCAGCCCACCAGGCCATTCTGTCTGGCCCGCAGGGCCCCTAAAAAATTTTTAGGAAATATTTATGTGCCCTAGGCTGCCTGTCATATGGCCCTTGATGGCTTGCCAAAACTCAGTAAGTGGCCCTCTGCCCAAAATAATTGCCCTTCCTTGCATTAAACCCTTTTCAAGATGCTACATACCCTTTGTTGTACAAGTACCTACTCATAATTCACCAAATAGAGTTTTCAAGTAGGAATCTATAATGTCAAAAACATTTTTACCTTTGTAGTCTTTCTGGGTTGTTTTGCAACAAAAGAAGGGGAAGGGATGTGTGTCTGTGTATGTTTTCCAAATGGCAGTTATGAGACTGTGTGGGAAGAGATGCAGGTTATGGTATCTTATAAGTATAACCAGTTCATATATACGTTTTTGCATTTTGTTTTATAGTTTAAAGTTTTGTTTTATTTTGAAGCACTGACTAGCAAAAAGTTTCCATTTGGAATTTACAATTCAGTTGTTATGGCTTAATTTATAGCTAAACTTTTTAGTAAAAATGTTTTGTTTTTCCAATTATTACAGGAACCTATTTTTTCGAGTGTCTTCTTTAACTAAAATGGGAATTAAACTGGTGTTTGTCATGGAGGGGGATGCCCCAAAACTGAAAGCAGACACAATGAGTAAGAGGAATGAACTGCGTTATGGACCTCCTAAGAAATCTGGAGCAGCAAAAGCAGGGAGATCCTATTTTAAATCATTCTTAAAAGAAGTGAGTAATTAGGAGTATTTTGATATTCATAGTATTAGCAGAATGGCATGGAGGGAAAGAAACCTCAACTAGATAAATTATGGGAAAGTATTTAAACAAAATTGAACACACTGAAAATCTTTGTGGAGGTATTTCTATAATACACTGAGGGGAGAAAATCTATACCACTCTGAGACTGGGTATTAGGCTTTGCCATTTTATCTGTTAAGTCTAATGAACTGCTTGTGTTGGTCCATGTAAAATTCCAGGAAATATGGTATTTTGTGTGTACTGCACAGTGCTGAGTACAATGATGGCAGTCAAGGATTATTTTTACGTACCTTAACACGAATTATGTCACCTTTGTAACCTGAGTGTTAGTTTATTTCCCAGCTGGGGAGAAGTTAAGATAGTCATATTAACAGCATTTGAGGGGGAGGGGCAATACATTTTTGTCACAACCCAAAGTTGTGGGTTTTTTGTTTGTGTGCGCTTCGGCACCGCTAAATTGTGTTCCCGCTAAATTGCAGCTTCTTTTGCACAGTGGAGTGTTCTGCTATAATAGAGAACCCGTGTGCAGGAGAGTGTTTCCCCCCAGTTTTGTAGCTTTCTTTGCATGGTGCATTTCTTTTGCATCTAAGAAATGCTCGGTGCAAGGAGTTCCTGCCATTTGTATTGAGATTCTTGCCACATTATTGGCCAATCTTAATATAGGCATACGTGGCGGCTAGCTTTTGGCTTGCTAGCCGTACAAAAGGCTTGGGTGGTTTCCGCCCAAATCGGAGAGAGAGAGAGCATGTGGAGTTCGGGAAAAGAGCGTGAAGATCTCTGAGCGCTGCTGATCCATTCGAACCCAGCTTTTTCCTTAAGAGGGCAATAGAGGTTTAATTTGCCGAACCCACGGAGTCTCAACAACTCCGCGGGACCTATTTACCGAACCCTCGGAGCCTTAACAACTCCGGGGCACATAACCTCTAGCCTCTCCCCGTCGCCAATCGCAACCCAGATGTATCCCTATCCTATGGACCCAATTTTCAAACCCACGGAGTCTTAACAACTCGGGGGGACCTGGGAACCGAATAGAACCCACGGAGATACAGCTGCTCCGTGAGAACGAATCGTTGAACCCGCGGAGCCTAAACCACTCCGGGGTCAAGGAACCGAGTTTATCAGAGTCCTCCAACAAGGATTTAAGCGGAGCTGTGCCTGGAAAGCTGACCAGCCTACACCGCGACCACCTTGGGTGTAAGTAAATAATCTTTTCAATCAACCATTACGCCTCCGTGACTGATTCTAGCTTGAGCGTACTACAGCGCGCCGCGGTTTTCTCCGGCTCCGCGTGCCCGGGCTGCTGGCCACAGCCCGCGTGCACAAAGACGGGCCCAGCTCGCTTCTGGCAAGGACGGGATCGGGAGCCGGCCCGCACAATTTTAACTAGGTGGATAAGAATAAGATTACATTGGTAGTTGTTTTGGTCACTCCGTACCAAGGGGTGTATACAAAGATATTTTATTATTATTATTCTTTGACTAATGATATATTTACTTTCATTCCTTTTTCTCATCTGTAATCATTTTCGTCTATTCTGGTGCATCTTCACATGGGCTTTACTATGGAGCTGACTAATTAGCTGTGCAGTAAGTGTTACCATTTGCATGTGTGCCTGTATTGGGGTGCAGTAAATTGATTAACTCTGCTGTAGAATAGTACTGTCCAGGACAAGTACTATCCTACAGCAGAGTAATTGCATCAGCTGAAACACATGTGTAGATGGTGACCAGGGCTGGCTGGGGCACAAGGGTGCTACAGTATGGGGGCTGCCTACTGGCTAGACCTGCACTGTAGCACATGCATTCAACTTTCTCACATCATTACTTTAACTCCTTCAATCCTTTTCTTGCTTAAGCAATGCTGTGTATTTACCAAAGATATTATGGCCATGTCCACATGAGCGTGGCCGTGCAGTATGTGGCACCACAGAGACATCTGCGGTGCCACATACTTCACATTCAGTTGTTCTCCGCGCTGCTCCAGGTTTTTTTGACACCTGGAAAAAAGAAGTGGGGCAGCGCACACAGCGGCAGTGTGCACCGCCCAAAGCTAGAACCTGACCAGCCAGAGCCATGCTTCACTGCTGGTTGGCTCTATGCAGCAAGATTGCCACTGCTACAGTCCTAGGAGGCCCTCAGATAAGGCTGCTGGAGGCCCCAGCCTCCCCTACCCCACCCAGGGTAACTTGCCATGTACCAGAGTGCAGGTGGCACAGACGTTTCCTGGGGATAACTTATTACTTTAAATTACCAATTAATCAAATCAAGAGCGAGACCTTATAAAGGGGGGTAAGGCAAAATGCTGTATTTATTGATTACATGAAGCAGATGCATAAGCTTGGACACACCAGTCATACAAACAGACGCACACAAGTATACAGACAAACAGACCTAGACCAACATGCAGACAAAACCACTCCAGTAAGATGTTATCGGTACCAGCAGATGTTGCTCAATGTTAGCACTGGGTGGCCAGCCCAGGCTCATTGAGGGTGAACAAGACATGCCTGTGCTCCAGGAGGTTTCAGAGAGCCGATTCCCCAACATGTCTTTGGCTGCATCTCACTTTTTATAGGGATTTCAAGTTTTTGTTCAGCATTGAGTTTTTTCCATGCTCAGTTTTTAATGAGAGGTTGTTTCTTATCCATCTTCTGGTTATCTCAACCAGACCTGGTTACTGAGGTCGTTCCAGTAAAGTTGGTATCTCAACCTTGAGGCATTGTGTAGCTCAAATGGCAGGATATGCAGAATTCCTTCTTCTCACTATTTCCTTTTGCACCTGATCACAGACAAGTTCTTCAGCCATCCATTAATTAGTTTGCTGTCTGGTAACTCATTCATTGGTGCCTTGTTGCTTACACAAACAGTTCAATTTTCTTCTTTTGCTTTCATGCAAAAATTCCCATTCTTGCACCATTCACCCTCTCACACAGCGTCTCATGTACACAGGGCATACAAAGTTCATTTACTCATGTCAAGCAGGGAACAAGCACAAAATTGAGCTTTAGTTCATAAAAGACAAAAATAAAGCTAATATAATCATAGAGGTTTATTGATTCAATACTATTATCATTTAAGCATAATTTAAACTTTTAAATTTCATAGACATCAGGGCTAGAAGGGACCTCGGAAGATCATCGAGTCCAGCCCCCCGCCCAAAGGGCAGGAAGTCAGCTGGGGTCATAGGATCCCAGCAAGATAAGCATCCAGTTTCATCTTGAAGGTGTTCAATGAAGGCGCTTGAACCACCTCCGGTGGCAGGCTGTTCCAGACCTTGGGGGCTCGGAAGAATTTCTTTACTTGGATTCCCCATCATGGCTTGTCTTCATCTCACTTTTATAGGGATTTCAAGTCTTTGTTCTGCATTGGGGTTTTTCCATGCTCAGTTTTTAATTAGAGATTGTTTCTTATGCATCTTCTGGTTATCTCAACTTGAGGTCATTCCAGTAAAGTTAGTATCTCAGAGTTGGTATCTCATCCTGGAGGCATTGTGTAGATCAAATGGCAGAATACGCAGTATTCCTTCTTCTCACTATCTCCTTTTGCACCTGATCACAGATGAGTTCTTCAGCCATCCATTAATTAGTTTACTGTCTGGTAACTCATACATCGGCACCTTGTTGCTTAGACAAACAGTTAAATCTTCTTCTTTTGCTTTCATTCAAAAATTTCCATTCTTTCACCATTCACCCTCTCACACAGACTCTCAAGTACAAAGGGCATACAAAGTTCATTTACTCATGTCAAGCAGGGAACAAGCACAATATGGAGTTTTAGTTGTTCATAAAAGAAAAAATCAACTAATATGCAAAAATTCATACTACAAACTAGCAGCAGCACAAGGTGCGTTGCCACTAGTTGTCTTCGGGGAACCAAACATCCACCCACATCTGGACGCAGCCTACACAACTGAGTGGGAGGGGATGTGGAACCATGAGTTACTTCATTAAAATATGATGCACAATGGAAGTTTAAGAAGCTATCCTGCCTCTCTTATGCCTCTTTCACTGCCCACTTCTGTGTCAGTTCTGGCCTAGTCTTAATAATGGATGCCAATTTCTCAGCCTCCCAACTTTAAAGGTATTCTGAAAGTCCATTTGGTTTATGCAGTTTTCTAGCAGAAATGACCAGTTACCATTCAGTACTGGTGATTCTAATTTTGCTGTGCTCTCATTTTAAATATAAGATTTCCAGGCAAAAATCACATTTATGTTCATCATGTTAATCATCTTAAAATCTCTCTTAGGCTAATAGCATTATATAATAATGGCCATTGCAGGTATACACAACCATACTCAATTGGATGAGCATTTAGAGCAAATGGGATAATTGAAAGATTAGTGTCTGTATCTTGACATTTTTGTTTTGATTTAGTGCCTTGAAATGTTGGAGTGTTTAGGAGTTCCTTGGGTTCAAGCAGCTGGTGAAGCAGAGGCCATGTGTGCTTACCTGAATGCAAATGGATATGTTGATGGCTGCATCACTAATGATGGTGATGTTTTCTTGTATGGAGCTCAAACAATTTATCGCAACTTTACTATGAATGCTAAGGTAAAATGTTTAGATTTTTTTTTTTCCTTCAAGCTTCCTCAAACACTCATTCTCTGATTAAATAAATGGGAAATGCCATGAAGATCTTGAGCAATTAATTTAGGTATCATTCTTTTGTCCTCCAGTATTGGGATTTGCTTAAAATAACCTGCCTAACTTGATTCATTAGTGTCCAAGTGCTGGATGTACAAGGAAAATAGCTGAACTGAATAGCAAAAAATGTATCACTTCTCTTGTTGTTTGAGACAGAATAAAGGCATATAAGAACATCAGTCTTATTGTTTAAATACTAGTGCTTACTCATTTGCATATGACACTTTAATATAAACAAATTTACAGTTGATGATGACTTGCTCCTCAGATTCAATACTGATGGGACAACATCTTCTGTGTCTAAATAATAAGCAATGATCTGACTATCCCGGAGAATCAAATATATGAACTATACAAACTATAAATTTAAGATCTTGAATTGAAATCTACATACACTAGAAATATAGGTTTTTATGACTGGTGGGAAAGGTAAAATACAACTCTTGAATCCATTATTTCTTTAGTATACGCAGAGAGTTCTTTTAGTTTGTTTAGTGCATCAAGCAAATGGAGAAAATTTTGACATTTCAACTATATCTTGGTATAAGAAGTCTCAGTTTTGAGCTAAGAAAACACGTAAATGGTTAAAAGAATTAACGGAACAGAGGACAGCTAGGAGCACTTCATACCTTTTAAAAAAAGAACTCATGTAGGACAACGTGTCTCTGTTCATTTTTTTACCCATTAGTTTTCTTTCCATACAAATGACTTAAGAGCCCTTTTTTCAAACTTAGCTACTCAAGGTATTGAAATGGATGTTTCTTGCAGTTGTTTGTTTATTCAGGTGTCTTGAAAAATAGGTTATTGGGCAAAAAGTTGAAAACCTTTGGTACATATTATCCCTGATTTCCGCC